TTCTTATTTTTCACCATCGTTGTTTGACAGGACCGTCTTTTGCTGCTCGACAAAACCCATGAAAAACTCTCAGGTAGCTTAAGTATTGGTCATTTAACATAAAAAACAACCATAAAAAATCAGACTATAATGCACGTGAATCACAGAAACTTCCCGTAGCGCCATCCGAGAGAGCCTCTGACGGGATTTATTTATTTATAGACCTCTTGTTTGGTTCTGGGTCAGTTATACAAAGCCAAATCAGCTGGAGTCAAAATAAACATCACACCTTGCCGGAGTGCTCAATACTTACAGAGGAACTAATTTGTACCACAATGTTGAGACCCTAATGTCACAGGATTAGACCTTGTGGGTTTCAAACAACATGACTTGTCTGAAGAACTGGGACCTTTTAGCAATCTAAATTTGTACTCTTGCATTAAATGTTCTAGTTTTTATAAAAAAGGTAAAAAGAGGCAACATAAAGTTCACCCACCACAGGTAAACCTGCTTCTATAGTACTTTCAATGTTTCATAGAACAATATTAAGATGACACCCATCACAACTCCTTAGTCACGTAATTTTTACGTTAACATATTATGCATTTTCCCACATAATTGTAGTTGAATAGGATTGGACTGACTTCATCATTCTGTTCCAAGATTTAGCTTATAAAGATACTAAATGCATTCTGCTATAAGAATACAATTATCATATCATATTTAGGTCAGTCGCATAAGTATTTACTATGGCGTCAAAGCGTCTTTGCTGCGAAATAGGTTTCTTAATCTAAGATACGTTAAAAAAGATAACGAAGCTCTTTTACTTAAGACCACTCTACAAAATATTGAATTCGATTTCTGAATTGGTGAATTCCTACGAAAATTTTTACTTTCTGTACATCCACTTCGTTGAACAAATGAAATCTCAGTTCTAATAAAAGCCACGAATCATTTCTGGATCGTATAGGCAGTGGTGCCAACTTGAGTGCTAACATTCCCTGAGCTCCACACTGACCACACCCAGACATAACATTGCTGCCACTACCGTGGCGAAACAATCCCATTAAAGAAATCACCCCTTCGTGATGGACGTGTCGTTTGACTAAGTGCTTTGGACTTGGTGCAGTTGCCGATAAAAATTCCAACATGTTTTTGTGACGAGTTTTATATTTTATGTTTAGTGGAAAGTATGTGATACCTTTGACTATGGATGTAGACTTTCCAATCCCATGCTAAAGTTGTAACCAGTTTCAAAATAAAAGGATTTGGTCAGAAACATTGATAAATTCTATTGAGGTTCGTTGAAGTTGGTGCATGTGATGATAACATGATTCACCCTTATACGTAACTGGTGTAAAATCCTTTGACGTGAAGAATATTTTGCCAAGACTCGAGTAGGAAGTTTTGGCACGTATGGAACGCTTTCTGCGGAAACTGAGAAATTTGGCAACCTTACATCGGAGTAAGGCGAGTTGGAGAATAACTCAACGACATGAATGAGAAAGACTTCCATAAAATTATACCCTTTTACGAGGTACATTAAAACTAATACGAAGCCAAAGTGTAAGCTTCAGAAATGAAACAATGGAACAATCTTTATCATATTTTGTTGTTGTTTAGTGGGAGAGCTGTTACAACCAAGAATTCACAAGTGTTCTTCCTTACAGAATCGTTCATCGTACAGTAATTCCCGTATTTTTTATGTAAGTCATTTTTTTAAAACATCTATCATAACAGATTTTAAGTAAAAGAGTTACAACTGTAAGTTTCTGTGTCCATCAAGTCGAAATTCCTATAAACTTCAATGCCTGTTAAAACGCGATACTGATTCTTCTAAAAGGGGTATACTTTTTAAATAATCTCAAGAAAACATAGTACAAAAAGAACTTCAATTTTAATCAGACATAACTATTCAAGACCAACTCTAACAATCAATCCAAAGGAAAACACTAACTGCAAAAATGTAAACAAATAAAACATCTGATGAATTAAATTAATATATAAATAATCATCTAGAGACAGTCATTTTCAACATACTCCCACCTTTTGAGTCTTAAGTTTCCATTATTTAAAGACTCAAAACACATATTATCATATTAAAAGTTCAGTCTTTTTGTTAACTTAATTTAATTGTTTTCCTCGTTTTCTAAATTTAACTTTATTTACAACTTTTCTATTTGAACTTTCTTTATCTTGCACTTCTTCTACCTCTTTTTCGTTTTTTTTTTTTTTACAGACTTTTTCAATTCATATCCAAAAGCGTCTTCATCACATTCACAAATCTTATTATTTTCAGATTCCATCTTGACAGTTACAGGATCCTCTATATTAGGAATGTCTACACTACACTTGTCAGAAATCGGTGTTAACAAAGATGTTACAGTCATTACACTTGATTTACACGTCACTCCTTTTACATTTACTTTCCCCATTAACACTCAACCAAGTAAGGTTTCCATTGCAACTAAATCATTTGTCAAAACATGACGTTTCCCTGTAAACAACTTTCCACCAATATCAGATCCAATCAAAACTTCAATTGGCCCTTCTACAGTGTCAGAAACATTAAAACCAAAAGACTGTAATTCGTTTATCCAAGGGCCCGCTTTGATTTCTGAAATATTATTACATATCACATCTTGATCTAATACCTCAAAGTTGCAATAGTAATTGTTACCCAAATCACTTAACCTTACTTTATGTCGATTGTGTTCAACAGCATTTGTTACTGATCCACCAAACAATGCATGATTAAGGGTTTCCTTTCCAAATGATACATACCCCATTTCTTCTGCAGTTTTCTTCAAAATGTAGGACCTTTGAGAACCAGAGTCAAAAATGACACGTGCTGCTCGTTCTTTATTACTTCCTCTAATATTCACACGTACAGTTTGTAAAAATACTTCAGAGTGTGCATTATTAGCTAAATTACTTTCACAACGTACTAAAGTGTTATCATTAACATAATTTACATTAGATTTATCTTGAGACTTGTTACACATTACTGTTGCATGTCGACCATTGCAAAGAGAACAGTTTAGTCGAACATGACACTTCTTACTAACATGGCCATACTTTGTGCAACGATAACAACATCTGTTACTTGACAATAGGTTTACCGTTTCTAAATGTGTCAGATTACTACAACTCTTACAATTTTCTGTCAAATGTTTTTCACCACAAAAAATACATTTCATAGGGGGTTTACCAACCTTTTGGTTGACAAGTCCGGCTGCAATTGGTATTGATTCCATTTTGTCTCTTAAGAATGGTTTGGATGACTTACCCAATTGTCTCTTCGAGTCTCCAAAACCTGAGGTAGCAAGTGAAATTCTTTCCTCATTTGTCACTTCAATTCGCAGAAACTTCAAAAGCGCATCGAGTCTATTCTTCAAATCAGCTTCTGGATCAAAGTCGGGATGACGTTGCCACGCCCTTAAAAGATCCTCTGGCAAACACGACTCAACTAATAGGTAAAGAATAGCCGCACATTTATCAGTAGTTACTCCTAATGTGTCAAGAGCTCTGATTTGACATTCTAATTTGTCAAATAAAGTCGAAATCACTACCTTTTGTCTCAAGTTATTGAGTAGCAGCTTTAAAAGTTCTCGAACATAGACTTCTATCAAAAGATCATCCCTTCCAAAACGACTTTTTAAACTCTGAATAGCATCTCTATAACTCTCTGATGTAGCAGGATAGCTATCTACAATTTGTCTCGCTTTAGAATTTGGAATAGTGGCCTGAAGTAAATAGTGGAACTTATCAACATCATCAATAGAGGGATCTTCATCTATCCTCTTAAAAATTCCCCAAAAAGGAAGCCATTCTTTAAGATTCCCACTAAATTGTACTAGTTCAATCTTGGGAAGTCTAAGCTTAGTCTTTAGATTTGAACTTCCACTCTTAGCTGAATTACTACTGACCAAATCGTAATCTCTAGAATCATTCAACTTACTTTGTACCAAAACATTTACTTGATTGTAGGTTTCCAAATAACTATAAGCTTTAGACACTTCTTCTTCAAGAATTGCTTCACTTTCCTCAAATTGAAATAAATGGTCAGATATCTTTGTGTCTAAATTCTTTAACTCTTCATAAATGATACTTACAGTTTGAAACCTACCTTTCAATTCATCTAAGTGAACCGTTTCCTGTGTAAGTTCATCCTTTATGGTTCACTAGTCTTGAAAAGTTTGCCCTAACTACAGTTCTATGTTTCTTGTTCTTATTAAATTCCCTAACATCAGTTTCACTCATCATACTGTCCTGTCACGGTCGCCAAATGTTAAAACGCGATACTGATTCTTCTAAAAGGGGTATACTTTTTAAATAATCTCAAGAAAACATAGTACAAAAAGAACTTCAATTTTAATCAGACATAACTATTCAAGACCAACTCTAACAATCAATCCAAAGGAAAACACTAACTGCAAAAATGTAAACAAATAAAACATCTGATGAATTAAATTAATATATAAATAATCATCTAGAGACAGTCATTTTCAACAATGCCATTGTTTCATTGTATCCAGATTTTCACTATTTATTGCCAGTATTATTACTCTTTATTTTAGTTACCTATTACAACTAATGCACTGTTTTTTTTTTCAAACTTGCAACAACTTTAACATGGGGATTAAATGCGTTGTTCCTACAGTCAAAGGAACCATATAATCTGTATGATATGTATCTTGAAAGGTGGTGGTAGTCGTAAAAGGATATTCTTTTGAAATCCATAAGATTCCATCACTGACTTTAAATTGTAAGTAAGCTTCTTATTTTATTATTAAACCAAAAGCCTGTTTTCAGGTTTAAATTGCAATCATAGTTTGAAGTAAGACTTCCCAGATGGTCTATTTAGATAGGAGTTCTACTTCAGTATCTAAATTCATAGTTGTCCACTTATCCATTTGCTCATGGTCCTCAACTTCTGCTATGCCAACATCATGTCAAAAGATATAACTTTTTTACAATGTCTTCACTCAATTTTACTTAATTTCTTCACATTGTTTCAGACTCAGTGCTATGCCAAAGGCCAGGAAACAGAAAGCCCGGAGGCTCAAGAACCCCGGCAGCCCCGTCGCCCAGAACTACACAAGCACCTCAAGACTCTGATGACCTCACTGACGAGTGCCCTGAACCCAACGGGTACTTCGCTGACGGCTACCAATGTGACAAATACTACGAGTGCATCGATGGAGCCATCACAGAGAAACTGTGTCCTGATGGAATGGTCTTCAACGACTACAACATCCAAGTGGAGAAATGTGACTTGCCTTTCAACATTGACTGCAGCACTCGATCAGAGCTTCGTGAGTATGTTTTGTGACTTGGAAGGTAACATCTGTAGTTTTGAGTAAACAATATGATAAGAACAGATTCAAATGTTGACTCTTGCTCTTCTGGTAACGCAGTCATGGTGGGCAGGACCAGCCAATGAGTAACAACGATATATAAAGGTAGAAATTCCAATAGACTGTTTGTACTAGAATATTAAAATATTTAATTTACAGAAACATTTCTGGCTCCTTTAATGTAACTGCTACACATTTTTAAGGAATGCAGGGATAAGCTGCTAAAAGCTAATAAAAAAAAACTTAAATTTGAAGATTAAAGATTATGCAGTTCAGGAATAAACTAATAGGTTGTGCCAGTGGTATTTTGCATGAAGTATGTATTCTGTATGAACAGTTTTTGGCAGAAATAATTGATAGGGAACCTGTGTCCGTTGGGTACTATAACTAGACCATTTACTCTCTAATAGTGTTACTCTCTAACATTACTACATGCCTCTCGACTTATTCCGTTTTATTTGTAGGTGTTTCGCCTCGAAAGCTAATTCTAATTCATAGTTTACTAGCCTCCGTTATAGTATGAATTAATTATATGGTTTTGTACAAATAACGTGGGTCTTCAAAACTTTATCTTTCCTTCTGTAGATTTCACAGAGCTGAAGACGAAGTAAAAATAATATATTTTATAGTTTAAAATGTTGGTAAAAGATAAACCTTCGTGTATTTAAACTCTTGGGGCAGAATACATTCTCTCTATCCCTTCAAACCAGTAAGTCCAGAAAGAAGTTGATTTTCTTTTGTCGTTTCAGAAAAGCCAAAGCCTTCCACCCACTGTCCCCGCCAAAACGGTTACTTTGCCCACGAGGACGGCAGCATCTGCGACAAGTTCTACTTCTGCGTTGACGGCAAATACAACATGATCGTTTGTCCTGATGGTCTAGTGTACAACGAGCGTACTGGAATTTGTACTTGGCCTGACGAAGCGAAGAAGGCCGGGTGCTCCAGCCAAGGTAGGTGGAGTAGTTGCTTGTAGACGCTTTGAGAAGTTCTTTAAAGAACATTTTGTAAATTATAAGAAGTACGAGATCTAGAAATGACAATGCTTTTGCACAGTTATTGTTTGATATTTACGTAAAGACTTGTAGAATATTCCAATTAATTTTGAAGTGCAAAACTATAGTTGATGAGGGTTAGATTTTTTGGACACGTTTGTATTGTATCTTGAAAGTACGTGTGATACGACTTTTTCTGCTATAAAAGACTTAAGAAAATTGTAGTGGTTTTATAATAGTAAAAATTAAAATCTGGTTCACACACATATATAAATCGCTTTGCTCCAATGCTTTGCTGTGGAGGGTTCACAAAGAAAAGAGAATTGTATAAGTAGTATACTTGTTGTGCAAAATTGTATAAATTGAACTATTGTATGAAAAGTAGCAATTGTATAAAAAGAGCTATTTTGGAAATCTTGCCATATTTTGCTGAACCAGGTTCAAACAATTAATTCAAGTATGTATGTTACTGTAAATATAGTCTATGTAAAAGTAGATGTCGATATAAACAATTGATTCATATAGCAATGATTCATAACAGAGTAAAAAACTTAAATGATTTATTGAGGATTTACCCAAAGCTCCATCCAAGGCAGTTGAAAAGTTAAGTACCTAACATATGTAACACCGGGTAGACTTCCGTATCTATTGGCACAAACAACCGAATTAAAATATCGTTCGATTTATCGATTATTCAATATATCGTTTGGTTAATTAGGTAAGGTTGACCTAACCTAACTAACCAAACGATATATCTTATGAAACAATCGAATAATCGATATTTTCATTTGGTTGTTTGTGCCAACAGATACGGAAGTCCACCCGTAAACCTATGCTTGGTCATTAGGCTTTTAATAAATGGTCGAGAAAAATACAACACCGGCTCTTGGTCAGGAACAATGATATTGTTGAAAATTTATGATGTGTTGATAAACATATGTTAATTAACGTATGTTTCGCAGAACAAAAATATAAATGTACAAATTTTTTCCCCATCATGTAATGAAGATAGTAAGCTGTTGCGACTTTTGACATTTTATCGAAATTGTATTCTTGTTCGAGTATATACAATTCCCTCTAACATGTAACCTTACAGAGACCTAGAACCTAGAGTTATATTAGATATGAAACAGTTTTGTTACTAGACGCTAGCTCAATTTGTAGATAAAACATTTTTAGAATTTATTCATGAAATAAGATGGAGGTACCTATTCCACAGTAAACAGATACGGTTACTTTTGGGATTAAAAAAATATCTCAGGAGATAATGTATTTTTTTACGAAAACTATAAAAATTAGTATATTGAACAAAAACAGTAGTATAATTATTCCTGTACCTACTTTTTTCAACAATGCACCAACAAATAGTTTAAAATCATAATAAATTCCTAAAAATACGTATAAATATTGTACACATAAATGTGTCTAAGAGCTCTAGAACTTGAACCACAAAAAATGTTGTTGAAAACTTAAATTACGTTAAATATTCACTACGAAATTGAAAAAAATTACTCTACAATAACTCAGCAATACACTATGTTAAGTTATGGCAATACGTGTAGCTTATACTTTATACTCTTACTTGACGCTTACGTTGCCTTGAACTAAGGGCGTGGCAGTCTGTCTGTCTGCCTGTAACGATATTGCTCCCACACCACCTCATGAGGTAGCGACACCTGCCTCGAATATTACAACAATACACGCACGCAAATACAGTTTACCTACACAAACAATAACGACTTCTGCCTCAAATATTTACAACAATAAAACACACGTGATTACAGTTTACTTACACAAATAGTGATGACATATGCCTATGAATGAATTTTAGAACAATAAAACACACGCGAATACAGTTTACTTACACTAATAGTGATGACACCTGCCAAGAATGAATATTAGAACAATAAAACACACGCGAATACAATTTAATTACACAAATATTTATGACACCTGCCTCAAATATTTACAACAATAAAACACACGTGATTACAGTTTACTAAAACAAATATTTATGACACCTGCCTCAAATATTTACAACAATAAAACACACGTGATTACAGTTTACTTACATAAATAGTGATGGCACCTCCCTCAAATATTTACAACAATAAAACACACGTGAATACAGTTTACTGACACAAATATTTATGACGCCTGCCTCGAATATTTACAACAATAAAACACGGGCGAATACAGTTTACTTACACAAATATTGATAACGGCTGCCTCGAATACAGTATTTACAACAATTAAACACACGAGAATACTACTACACACGCGATAACAGTTTTCTTAAACAAATCTGCCTTTAATATTCGCTACTGTACCACACCAGGGACATAGATGTTTGTACGAATACTAGTGCTTGTTTTATACTTACAACTACTGCTAGTATGCTATATGCTTGGTAATAATCAAAAGATTTAAGCTGCGTAATTCATATAGCTTTTTGTAGACATTATGTCTTATAATTAACTGTATACAATTCTACGGTTGCTTTACAAGTATAAAATAATATTGTTGTATATTTCGAAATAGATTATTCTCAGATGTTACTGATTTTATTGAAGAGGCTTAGTCACTAATTGAAATAAAATGTAAAGACACCAAACATTTATCAAACACACTAAAAGGTTAAGATTCTTTGTCCTAAGAGGGACTTAAGTCAATATCTGAATAGATAATGATTAGTTAGCAACTCTATAAGAATTAAAACTAAAACAAAGGTTTTACATGTTTTGTGACATAGAGATTTTTATAGAGATGACATTAAAACAGAAATTCTTTTAAACTTTGCTCTCTTGTGTTCCCCAGTAAAACGTCAAAAGTAATATTGAAAATCTATTTTTCTGGATGCAAGAAACATTCACAACGGGATACCAGTTAGTTCTGGAACATGCTGTAAATTAAATTTTCACGATGGAAAAGCTATTTAATAGTAATTGATATTGATAAAACAAGTGCTAGTTATTTTGCTGGCTCCTGTTCGTTTCCGACAAGTAAGTGTAAATATTAAATTACTGTTAGTAATATGTTAATTTACAGATACCTACCATATTTTGTTAATTTATATACGAAAACCTTAGTATCGCAGTTGTGAGAAAAACTGCATTAGGAATGGTTCCACTTTATTTCCTCTTTTATTAATGTTAATCTTCATAAATATCACAATGTATAACCATTAACTATCCAATAGAAAATTTGATAACTGTATTGTATTGTTTGAACTTCTTTTTTACGTTCAAATATTAAATTTGGATCTATGTATTTATTTACACAGAGTTTATTCTGATGTGGAGAGTAAATAAAATCTTTCCAGAAGAAAACATACATACATTTCAATGGATAAATAACTATAACCTATAAAAAACAACAAATATATTTAATTGTAAACCGTTAGCAAATCTTTGTTTAGTTAAGTAATTAAGTTAGCTTTGACAATGTGCTTGTGGTTTGTTAGTGTTGTGCTTATTTGTGTTATTCACTAAGACTGTACAAACGCTTCACTCCGTAGTCGCAAATATAGTGAGAATGTTTAGTGAAGCGAACCCCGCTGTAAATAAACGCTGCGAATGTAAATAAAACACACCTTCACTAATACAAAATCGAGTTGACGTCTCCAGGTGCCGGAGAAAAAGGTGTGAACATGACCGAAAGCCAACCTAAAAACCAGACTTGGCAACTGATGACGAGAGGGAAGAGGTACACGGTTCACGAAAACCAGGAAAGCGAAGAAGATAGCAGAGATGAAGAGAACTTCCAGTTCAAGGATCAAGCGGAATTGGAGAAGATCACTGAAGAAGGCTATGGAAAAGACTATGAAGACGGACTCTGGGAAGATCCAAATGCTGCTCCTAGTACAGAAGCAGCTTCTGAAATCCCGGACGACTACGATTCAGCAGACTACGAAGACAAGAGAAGAGAAGAAGACTCTGGAAGTGCTGAATATCCTGAACGTAGTGCTGAGGCGAACTCTGCAGACTACGAAGATTCCGTGGAGAACTCTAGCGGTCAAAGAGGAAGATACAGCACAGGAAGTATCTTCGGTGAGAAAATGCTCCTGGATGAAGATGGGTTTCCAATCTTCGACCATTCGACTGAAGACGATGCTGATTTGAGAAGATGGAGCAAAAGAGATACTATTCTTTCTGAAGGACCTTTATATGGAGGGTCTAAGGACTATGAGGGTTATTCTGAAAACGAAGCTATGAAAACTTCTGCACCTCAACCAGTGCTTACGACCACCAGTTTACCGGCTTCTACAATAATAACTAGAAAAGCTGCCACAGCTTCTACAGCTGCTACAGCTTCGCCAAGAGCATATTCTTTTACAACACACATGGCTCCGGCAAATTCCACTTTAGCCAGTGGAAAGACAGGAAAGAGACCAACGTAGTCAACATTGTGTGAGGAAGGTAGGGATTGGAAAAATTAGTTTTTATATATGCAAACCTATCCACAAAATCCTTGTTGTGTTTATCTCTGCTTAGTGTTCTTTTTTTTTTTATAGTTAAGGTATGAGAAATACAAAAAATGTCAAATTATTTCCATGCCATAATTTTTTCTAAAAGGTAACATAAAAAAACTTCAATCTTCATAGTCCAAAGATTCGATAATATCTATATTATCTATCTATCTATATATTAATAGGCAAGCATGTTTCTTTAAAACCTTTTTTCTCAGCTCGTGTGCATCGCAGGGGAAATCTACGCATACTGTTAGAAAGATATTTGCCTGTAGATGTGCAGAATCCCTTTATAAATTAAAATAGGCTAAAAAATAAGCACAAAAACGAATTTGAAAACTTCAAAAAATTAACATGGACCAACTGGGTTGCCATGATGGTGACGAAATAACAACAAAATGTAAACAGAAAATCAAAACAAATGGAAGAAATCCCAATCACATGTTTTATTTACAGTGTGGGGAGAAAATAGAGAAGTCTGTACATTAATTATTTTTGGTCGAGTTTCGACCACAGGACGACCACTAGTACTTATTTAATACGCAAGCAGGTTTTTTGTGACAATTACTCCTCCGAAACTACTGAACCAATTAACATGTTTTTGGTGTCATTGGAAAGAGCGTAACGTGAAGTTGTGCAGGAAACTTTCTTTTTAAGGAAATAATTAGAGAGTGAGGCCCTGGGGCCCTTTAAAGTTTCGTATTTATCCATAAGATTAACATGGAAAACAAAATTTGTTATGGAACTCCAGCTGTTGTCAGAAATTAAGAGTGAAATATTTATTGATGGTATCCATGGTAACAAAGAACAAACCCACAAAATTTAAAAATGTAAACAAGCAGAACTAACTGTCAAATTAATTTTGATTTTCACAATTCCGCACAGCTGGTTCAAACATATTAAATACTGCATGATTATTAGAACAGGAACGGTAGGGATCATAAACATTAATAAAATATGTCACTCGCCCGAATCATTTTTGTCTATGCCCGAATGTAAACATTTAACATTGATTAAATGGAACTGTCAAACTATATGTTAATGTCATTAGTATGGAATTCTTTCAGTTACATCATTTGTTGATCGAGTTAGTTTCAATATTTTTGATCTGCTGTAATAATATTTTACAGGAAATAATTGTTAGATAAATTCGTGGATATAAGTAATAATTCAGATTCTTCAATCTTTGCTGTTATTAATATTGTGTATCTGCAGCAAACCTTCAGACTAAGCGAATTTCCATTTACCTGGCTTAATTAATACAAAGATAATTATTCCCTTAAAATGGTCATTTTTCCTATTTAAATAACATTAAGTTAATTTTAATATGAGTACTTAGGTTTGCTGCTACAGGGAAGTTAGGTGTGTTTTTGTAGAAATGTTGATAGCTAAGTATGATTGTTATTGGTTTGCCAATCCTGTAATAGGCTACTTTACAATTGCTCGAATTCGAGCAACATGTACACTAGTACTTATTTAATACGCAAGCGGGTTTTTTGTGACAATTACTCCTCCGAAACTACTGAACCGATTTACATGTTCTTGGTGTCATTGGAAAGAGCGTAACGTGAAGTTGTGCAGGAAACTTTCTTTTTAGGGAAATAATTAGAGGGTGAGGACCTGGGGCCCTTTAAAGTTTCGTATTTCTCCATAAGATTAACATGGGAAACAAATATTGTTATGAAACTCCAGCTGTTGTCAGAAATTAAAAGTGAGAAGAAGAACATATGTTAATTGTAAACAGTCAATAAGTTTGCTAATTTAACAGTTAGTTTGTCACAAACATTTACTTACTCGGTTGAAATGAAATAGTTACTATTTGAATTTGGGTTGGCGTAATTATTACAATGGGAAAAAACAAGAGAGCCTGGATAAATTGATATACTAAAAAGAAAACTGAATTAACACTGTGCTGCATTTCTTAGTAATCATTGAAAGAGACGATTTGCAAACTATGGAAACATAGGAAAGTCATAGATCACCACCAAGGGGAAGAAATAGAAATAATATGTGTTATAAAAACTAAAAAACAAAATCAGCTTTTGAAAAATGACAAGATATTTACAAGAAATGTTGATTATATCGATCTGTTATGTACATCTTGAGTATTCCATAATCTTTGAGTCGAATCTTTTAAAGTCATAAAAAATATGACTGTTATTTGTTTTAAAATAACGCCTGTAATACTTAGCAATTGCTCGATTTCGAGCAACAGGGGCACTAGTAATTTATAAGATGAGTAACTCCCTCATTGCAAAAGTTAGATGAACTATAGAGTTTGCAGTTGACTTTGAGGGTTGGTGATAAAGTCGTGCCACGAGCTTATCATCATCGATCCAATTGTTATCAGTCGTGATAGATTGGCTTGTTAACAGCTGATTGCCAGGCTCATAAACAGCTGTCCGGATAAAATCATATGCTACCTGGTATATAATATAAGCTAAACTTTATTGTAAGGTAAATTCTGATAATAAAGAACCTGTATGGCCAACTTAGAGTCATGAATTAATTCAACTATTTAGAGTTCAGAAAGTTTAATTTAACATAGGCTTTTATTGGGATTTATGTAAAAAAAAACATTTTCTTTAAGTGGCTAGTTCACAAACAAAAACTTTTTCCCAATTTGACTACTGTATCAAAATTATATCATTAATTTTGTGAGAAAAATTTAAATTCTTTATGTATGTAAAGTGCTGCTTATAACAACTTTTTTTTATTTTTCCTCCCACATTTTCATTAAAAAAATACTCCAACCTTGACGTGTCCATGTTGTTAACATAATATGCATTATAATACTACTTGAGGTTACTATATTTCACATAATGTTACAATTTAGATCCTATAATAAGTTTTACTGGATCATATAGGTGAAACAATTGGTTTTATTAAAACGTTTTTATTAGGTCGCTTTCTTGTCCGCTACAAATTTTGCAACTGATTTTATACTAACTTCCCTATGAGCTAGGGACTTGAAACTTGAAACATATCTCACAAATGGAAGACAATGCAATATTATACAATTTAATTTTCATATTTCCCTTGGGCTACGCCCCATGGGCTTGTTTTTATTAAATCGATTTCTTGCAAATTTTGATACTTCCCGATGAGCTAGAGACTTGAAATTTGAAACATAGCTCACAAATGGATGACATTGCAATATTATATAATTTAATTTTCATATTTCCTTTCGGGCTACGCCCCATGGGCTTGTTTTTATTAGCTCGCTTTCCTACAAATTTTGATATCAATTTTAAACGATGTTCCCGATAAGCTAGAGACTTGAAATTTGAAACATGGCTCACAAATGCATGACAATGCAATATTATATCATTTAATTTTCATATCTCCCTTGGGCTACGCCCCATGGGCTTCCAAATTTTTCATGTTTACATTTTGAAAGGATGTAAATATATCAACTAATTTAAGTCAGCTGTAAATACTTAAATTTGACAGTTCGAAGAGCAGAGGTTAAGAGGTACAGGTTATGCTCCCAAGAGATTCTTTATACAAACAAACATTTCAAAATAAAGATAAACAATCTGATTGCAGGTATCAAGGTGTTTGTAAATAATGTCAATTTTTGTTTATTTAGTATTCTATAAAGTAAACAATAAATATTTCGACTGAATGCATTGCAGAGAAATTCCATAACAAACTATAGTTAAAGGTAGGCCATACATGCAATCTAATACATAATTATATGCAAAGAAACTCAAATAAACCTTAGATTTCCCACATGCCTCTGTCTTAATCTGATATAGATGCTTGAAATAGATTTAACATGCACACACATTAAAACTAAAAAGTATAAAATAATTTATAAATAAAAAACTTTTTTAAACAAAACGTTTTTAAACGCAATAAAAAATAGAAAATAATTTATAAATATGTTGAGAGAGTATAAATACTTGTACGATTTAAAACGAAAAACGTTGGGTGCATGCAATTAATTGATAATAATACATTAGTTCAGTAGGTGAAGGTAATTGTAAACTATCTATTGCATGCACCCCACGTTTTTCGTTTTAAATCGTACAAGTATTTATACTCTCTCAACATATTTATAAATTATTTTCTATTTTTTAGGGCGTTTAAAAACGTTTTGTTTAAAAAAGTTTTTTATTTATAAATTATTTTACTCTCAACACACCTTTGGAGTGTGAATTTTAAAAATAGTTATCAAACATTCAAAATTCTTTGACTGGATTCATGGAAAATAATTTCCCACTCTGTTTGAAAATTGTACAATTGAGATCCTATATATATTACTGGAACCTTTACAGCTTCACAATCCGTTATATTGAAGACCCTCTAGAAATCTTTGGCACCTCAATTTCGAAATTATTGAAGTCTTCAAGAAACTTTTCACCCAATCCCATATTGTTATTTCCTTTCATTATTGAGATCCTATATGATATTTTCCCCTAAACAATTAATTCATTGTGGACTTTCTAGAAATTTGGGAATTTTAAAACTCTTTTACAGGATTACAGCTGATGTATTTTTACTTTACTCAGTTTAATAATCTTCGTATTGAGATCCTGAGGTCTCCTTCCTGGAAACCTTGCACTAAAGATATTGTTCTCTTCAATGTCCTTCAAATGTATTTTTTGCCAATCTTCATATTGATTATCCAAATTTAATTTACTCTTTTTCCAAATTCCAGATGTGTTCAAGTTCTCCTGTCCCAACGTAACAGAGTCAGTGGGACAGACCCATCCGAGGTACGCCGACCCAGAGGATTGCCAATTCTTCTACGTCTGCATCGACGGCAAAGTACCCAGACGGAACGGCTGCAAGAAGGGTCAAGTCTTCAACGACGTCACCAAGAACTGCGACTGGCCTAGAAACGTGCCTGAATGGTGGGTATTGCTGAAAATGTTGAAGACCAAAATTTCTTAGGGTCTTGCTAGACTAGCATTTTGCTCGAGAGTGATGTAGTTAGTCAGTTGTTTAAAATGTCGAGACTTTTGTGCTTTTCCAGTAGAATGAAGCACTGTGAAACCGATGACGCAATTCCTTAGGTTCGTCACATATGATTCATTAGAACAGTGCATTCTTATACTTTTCCGTCCCACCCCTTGCTTTGCTTGACATTTTTGACGTATAACCATTTTAAGTCTTAGGTGTACGTGCAAATACCAAGTTAAAGAGGTTGCAAACTCTTAAGATATTGATAAGTTAATTGATTGAGATATTGATATATAATTGATAAGTTTCCGTATGAAAAAATGGATTATGATATCGTCAAACAAGAGTGTACTCCGACCACAAAGTGTCAGTGCCAAGTACTAGCTTTCCCTCAATTGGTCGGACAACTCTCTATGATCTCTTGGCTCAGAAGTTTACCTACAGAGAAGAAAGATACAGATAAAACTTGCATATGCACTTTCATATCTGGTAAACCTATTTTGTGCCGAAAATACACTTGTGACAAGCAAGGAAGAGCCCGAGCGCTGTGCAGAAGTTTTCATCACATAGGGCACAGGACCTTCTTCCACCATGAGAATTATGGTACTTTAGGGTGAGAGGAGGGTGTATGACTTTTATTTAGACACCAGCGACTTAGAGACCTCATGAGTGTACCATTGAATTTTTCCTCTGTACCTTACTTCTCTGTTTCCCACATCTTGATATCATAAACAAATAGATGAGTACAGCTTTCGCAAACACTTAACTTTTCATATTCCCACAGCAAGGAGTGGTACAAGGGTATTCTCACCGACGCAGAACTAGAAGCTCTGGAGAACCCTAAGCCCAAGAACCGTACCCAGGCGTACCAGAACCAAGCTAGCAGTCGCAGGAAGGGGGCGACCCGGCCACAACCGCAGTACACCGAAGACGAAGAATGACTCCGGCAGACGAGGGTCGACACACTCCTGTAGGGCTCTGCCCCTCTGGCATCACTGGGGCCAGAGAACTTGGACACTTCAGCCACTGCAATGTTGTTATTCAGTCTAAGTTAATCAAACATTGTTCCTAATAAGTGTAAAATGTTCTTGAAATTGAATAATGTTGGAATTTGTTAAAATGTAAAGATGTATTGTTTTGTTAAAACTTTTGAGTAATAGCAGATTGGATGGTATTTAAGTTTTATGAAATATCATTGTTTTACAACAATACCCAATATTTATTATGAAAAAAAGTAAAAGTGGATACACTACGTGTAATTAAATACTTAATTAATATTTAGGAAAATTTTAATTTAATATAAATATGAGGAAGGTGATAAGAAATTTCCGCTTCTAATGAGTCAAAAGATATGAGTTCTGGTTTAATCTTATGTTAAAACTTTTTGTAGTGAATTATTCTTATAAAAACAATACACAAGTTTATTGGAAAATATAAAATTATCACTTGTAAGTTTTTATTTATTTATGTTACCCTCTGATGTATCACATGGTAAGATGATCTTAAATAAGAACGTATTGTTGGAATTAAATTATGCTTCCAAGATTAACTTGTTTAACCATTCCATTTTTAATTCATTTTAGATTTAACAAAAGAATTTCATATTTGCCTATGATTAAAGATGTTGGAATACTTAGTATTTAATATATTTTTGTAGATAACAAAACCTGCAAATCCCTTGGGTTTTCACGTTGATATTATCATAATGTGTATTTAGCTTTGTACGAGTTAAAGACTCTTTACAATATATATATCTCATTAAACTAGCAAAACTCTGAATGCTTAGAGAAAACACTTACAACACTTTGAAGAAAGCGAGCTATAAATCTCCAGTTTTTAATAAAATAATTGCTCATAAAAAACCTATAAATAGAATTTTAAATTGTATTAAATGTATCTTCTTATAAGGAATTTTTACCATTGAGAATTACCTAGCAAAATATTTTTTATGTGTACCACTTCAGTAAACAAAAATATTTGTTGGTTTGAAATCCGTTATACTCGTCAAAAAACGTTCCCATGGATTTAATTTGGTTGTTTTTTTTTTTTAGTTTTTGAGTATTATACTTTAAAGATATATTTCAAATTCTAACTTATACATAGCGGTGAATAATTTACAATGAATATGTTCTTATTTTCGGTTATGCATTGAAAGATTTTTTTTTATGGTTATAAAACTAAAACTTCACAAAGACCTTCATAATTAATACAGTTGTTATTACGGCTGCTGAATGAACTACAAAATCAATATTTGCATTCATTTTCAGCTTATTATTGCGCAGTTTGGAGGTGATAACACTACTGCTAATATGTAAAGGATTTCTGAAAAATATTTGTAACTGCAATTTTGTAAGTCTCTTTATAAAACAGTCAGTTATATAACTATTCAAATGTTTGTTTTTGGAAGGTGAGATATAAGGGATTTTAATGTTGAAATATCCATCCCCTCAAACCTAACGTAAAAGGATTAAAAGGTTATTAGGCCTACGTTTATACATTTCAACTTTTGCCCAAGGGTTCGGGCTCAATTTCCGACAAACACCAATGATTTTTGGCTATACTATATGTCAGCCCGGGGTATCGGGGCCAAACTCAAGCTTTATATCTACTTATTCCAGAAAATTAAATTTCCAATAAATAGTCGAACATTTTCAAAGGTGATAAGAACATAATCTGGTTAGAAATCTCCATCTACAAAATACATGTTTTAGAGCTAGAGAATGATACCTATCTAACCATTATTTCAATGCATTCTTACACAATTTTCCCCCTAAAGTCTTAATAAATCTGTGTATAATCTACCTACATCAACCCAAATAATCCGGACCCCAAGTAGTGAACTTCTCTTAATCTTGATTGTCAATTAAAACTGTTTCTACAATTATTAGTTCACTATTCATGCTTGTCCAATGTAAATGGTTTTATTTTTATAGTCCCAAACATCATTAATTTTTTTTCTATTTTTGGTACTCGAAAAATCCTGATATAACACTACCATTTTTTAATCTGTGTGTGTTTTAATATCATTCTCACCTTATACCATTCACATGAAATGGCTCCCCATTCAGTTATTATTATTAAAGGGGTTTTTTTTTATCCTACCGAGTAAGTTAGTATCTGAACTCCTTCTGAAAACTAAACACTAAAAACATTTCTCCTTGCGCCTGGCTTGCCACTGGTCTTGAGCAGGAGTTACAAAGTAGAAACCAAATGCCTGCAAACTCTCTGCTTTACTAAACCAGGTAACGAACAGAATATACAATAACGTTATGGCCTATCGTACATACATTTAAAATATAAAATGAAAAAATTAAATTTTCAATGGTTGGTAAATGTATTGGCATACATTTCACGAAATGAAGCAGTTCGTGATTTCTTTCTTTGTTAAATTAATTTATATAATTTTTCATAAAACCATCAATACATTGAATAATTTATATTTATTTCATTTTTATTGATTTCTGTAGTTGACTTCTCAAAAGTTCTACTAAAGTATTTAGCTATCAGGCTAAACTTATCTCTTTGATTTGATAAGGTATTTCTACAATTTTTTTAAGTCAGGTAATTATATTGTTCAAAACTATTATTTTATATTCCTACTTTTTTATTTGTCAACCCTAAAACTTTTAAAATAAATGTTAGTTATTTTTGAAACAATGATTAGAAAAGACAATAATTGTCTTAACAATGGGTAGCCGAGTAACTATAGTATTTATTTTAATATGATGTTTGCTGATTTGGTCTTAAGATCCAGTTCTCAACAATAAAATCTCAAGGCCAATATTATTAATATTAAGATATTAAGAGCGTCTGGTTAACGTTAAATGTTGCTGGTTGAACAAAAAAGTAAAAATGTCAATTGAAAAAGTTACAAATAAAAATAGAAAAAGTACTTCACAATGTTTTGAGAATTCTATAAAATATACGTAGGGAAACTCTGAACTTGAAGTAATATAATGAGAATTGAAAAATTGTAATCTTTTCGTTCTAAATACGCATTTCATCAGTCAACTAGAGTTGTAGACACCACCCTCCAGAGAGTTTCAACATAAGGGTGAAGTGTCAAGACCCTCGGGGTGTCTTACATCAGAAAGTTGCAAAACTTGAACCAAACTGCACCCTTCATCAACACTACTGCGACAGTCTGCAAGAAGGAGGGGAGCGCGGGAAAGCTGGGTGAAAGTTTTGGAGGGAACCTTTGTCAGCTGGTGGGACTTGCCAAAAGTCACCTTAGCAATTTATGGCAGTCAGTACAACTTGAAAAATTTTCTGTGATTTCATTTTATAGTAGTTGAGCAACATTTACTTGGATCCAGCCTAGGATTGTTTTCACGATACTTCAGGTTGGGCCTAGAGTTTGAGGATAATCACTTAGATAAAATCCATTGGTGATTGGCAGAATTTTATCACGGGACCCCAACATTGGCATAAAGGATAATGTATTTGTAACGGAATGTCAAATCGCTTCTGGATCAAAACCGACTTTACTTAAGTTAAAACCAGAAAACTGGATGTAAAGGTAAGCACTATTACCACTGGACACAATTGTCCATATTCGTTAAAAATATCGTTAAAAATACTCTACCATCCAGCTCTATCATCCACTAACGTTAAAAACAAAAATGCTATTTACACAACATAAAGTTTTTAATTTTGTAATCTAAATAATATTATAAAATTAAGGTGGTGTCTGTCTGTCCGTCTGGGCAGCTTTCACTTCTAAAATACTAAACCGATACAGCCAAAATTAAGCACAAAGATGGTCCACATATCTAGGAATGTCATAGGCCATCTTTCCTGAGTTCCTCTCAGGCTTCACCCTTTGTATGTCCACAGTTTTGAGATGAGGTTTTCAAAAGTAAATACTAATTGGTCTCCATGGAAGCATGAGCAAGTTCACAACATTTACCGCGGATATTTAAATGTAAACAATCAGAACTGCCAAATGCTCGTTTCCCAATTTCAGACAGCTGATCCAAAGAAATAAAATATAGTATACAACTATGTGGTAGGATTATTTAATCTGAAACTTCATCTTAGATTATTTCTTCTTAATCTAAATTTCAATTGTTGTGAAACTGATTTTTCTTGCCGTTACGAACCATGGGTACATCAGCTAGTGAATCATAAAAAACTATAATTAGTAAACTCTTAGGGCACAGAGCTGGCTGATTGTCTCATAGTTAAATTGGTAATAGCCTAAAAACGTAGGTTATTAATACTGCGTTAATGTCATTGTGCCATATAGCTTCAGTGCTCCGCCAAAGAGGAGACTTTATCTGCTTATTGTCTTTCTCCATATTTAGTATAAATTAAATCCTAACTTTCATTCTCCCACACAAATAGCTCCCCATTCGGTGCTTATTATCAAGGGGGTTTTCTTATTTTATAGATTATTTTAGTACCTGAACTACCTCCAAAAGTTCTATGCGGACATTTTAAATATAGGCCCTGCGGACTAAACTGTATATAAGAGCAAAAAGAACACACAATTTTGATTGAAATCTTGGAAAATAATGTTTAGGACAGCAAATAAATTATGATTACTCTATTTCAAAAAATGTGTATTGCTTAAATTCACATTGGACAGGGTGCACCGTAATAATGCTGGTTCCTCCAAAAGAAAACAACAACTGTGATAATCTTTAATTATGTATCGTGATATGTATTTAATTGTACATCCGTTATGTAGGTGTCTTAGGAATGGATGACATACGATAAATAAATTATAAGTTTAAAAAAGTGTAAAAAATAAAGCAAGGCATCTGTCATGAAAAGATTTAGGGCGAAATCGATTTATGAAACCATGCGATCGCAGATGGGATTTAAACAATTAATTGTACAGTACACCCAGTTTAGTGAAAAACTCAATCAGAGCTAACTAGAAAACCAAATATAAAAAACATATTGAACATTAATGATCGCTGTTTAGCAAAGAAGATTCCCAATACACTGACAATTTTGATTTCAGTGAGCTGTCTTATTTTTTCTATACTGTCGTGTATTTTTCAGCTAATTTTATATTACCTTAATTAGATATTATCTCATACCTTCACTAACGTTTATACTTTAATACAGTTAATAAATATATTTATTAATCTATTCATTAGTAATTTATTTTTGGTGTTATAGTCGGGTGATTTCAGTCACACTTTCTTCCGCTGCTTGCGGTTATACAGCTGTTCCTTATTATCCTTGCATGACTTATTATGCTAAAGGAAACACCTCATGTACAAGAAATAAAGCAGCATACTATCTGCAATGCTTAATTAATGGAGTGATTCATTGACATGCCTCCAATTATTATTGAGACGATTGTCTTTGCTAATGAGTATTATTAGCAATGAGACTTTATTACAAAAAAACCTAACAGATTTGGCTTTCTTTAATTTTTAAACTTTAAGACTATATACACAAATAGGATGCAAGTCTTGCTCCCAAACAAAGTTTTGGATAAGTTTTTTTCAGGAAACCATCTAAAATCAGTTGAGTATTACGCATTTGTAACTGTTTTGTAAATATATCTACAATTTTGTCAGTAAATCTGTGGACCTCTTAGGAATGTTATTTTTTAGTTTCTCTAATAGCAGTGGTTTTGATATAATAGTTTGTTCAATTCTTAAAGCTAATCGGATCTTGTTTGCCTGTATATAAACAAAATTACAGTTGATCTTAACTAAGCAATTAATTCATAATTTAGAAATAATAACATTCCTTTCTGGTTCTCCCCATTAACATTGTCTCTCTTAATTTTCATTAACATAAAGACTCTAGATTTTTAATGGTCCTTCGAGACGGATTCCAAATATAATTTCTTTCTCTGTAAAAATATTCTGTCTTCAACTATGCAACCTTAACCGATTGCAATAGAGGGGCAAATCTGAGCAAACCATGCCAAAACAATATATCAGAATGATAAATTAAAATAATAATAACTGAGGATTATAAATAATCTACGATGACCCCCAGACAAAAATGTTTCTATCTCCCTCTCCTATCCCCAGTGAAACCCTTGCCCATCTTATCAGTAGGTCGTTTGAAGGTCACGGAGCGTGATAAGCCCAGGAGGTACGAGGAGGTGCCGGGAGGTACCGGGAGGTTCCAGAGGAGGTTCCCAGTCAGCTCCCAGTTGGTAGTCAGTAGCTGACATGGCTCTACCACCGAAGTCGCTCTACGCTGCGCTCCTGATCATCGCTCTCTCTCACTCCACTGGTGAGTCACGTGAATTTATAAAACTTTTATTTGTTTATAAGTTAACGTTCTAGCTCTCACGTTGTATAGTTGTTGCATGATCGTGTTGTTGAGCAGTATTTAAATACCCGAAGAATTTACTGATCTTCGTAAATTGATGAGGTCCAGCCTAGCAGACAAGTATACAACGTTGTAATTATTTTTCCATACGGATGTGTGCAGATGAGTTAAATGTAGAAAAATGGTTTATAAGAGTAATTTTGTTATAGTTAACAAGCTGTGTTAAGACTTAACCTTAATTTTAGACATTTCTTCCAATAGTTCATTTGTTGTGCACCACAAGCATAGCTCGTCAAAAGGTTTTTGTTGTATAAGCAAGTAGTAAACATGATATTATGTTTCGATTGATATTTAGAACTCCGTCATAAGATTGGATACACGAACACAGATTAAACATATACAATTCGGAATTGAAATCTCACAAACCCACACACTTGAAGGTAAAATCTCATAGTTTTACGTTAGATTCCATTTCAAAGTAACCGGTTGATGATCTTTCATTGTGTCAGTTATACTATTACAACTTCGTGAGCTCGTCAAGCGCTATGGTCATCATTTTGTGCTGTTCTAGCAATAGAGAAAATGATATGCAGTGACACTAAGTATAAATGACGAAAAAGTGAAACTGTAATAACACAAACATATTAGCATAGATGTTTTATGATATTTCGCTTCTTTTTTCCCCAACGTTCCACATTATTTTGAACCAACTGACTCCATTTTCTAAAGCAAATTACAGTAATTTCATCAAAAAACCAAGGCAATCAGGTAATGTTCAATTCTGTGTATCCCAGATTCTCAGAAAAACAGTAAATGACCTTCCTGATCATAACTTTTAGTTGTTTTGCCAAGGTGTTAGCATTTTGATCGCGGAGCCCAGCCTAGCGTTGCATAACGTCAAGCTGAACACTTTCACTACTTCACTTCCTTCCAGACTAATAACTCTGGTCATTGTTGCTCTGAAGTTATTAAAAACTGTTACAACAGCTGTTTATGGATTGTGAGTAGAGTAATCCTGTGTTTCCCGCAATTTAGGGATGAAAATGTTCCTGCAAGGCTTCAAAAAATTACAATACCCCCGCCGCAGCAAACCTGCAGACTAAGCGAATTTCCATTTGCCTGATTGGATTTACACTAAAATGTCTCCTTAAAAATATCAAATTTATTCCCTATTTAAATAGAATCAGTTTAACACATACTTAGGTTTGCTGCAACAGGGAGGGTAAAAGTGTTTTTTTATGTAAAATGTTAATAGTTAGTAAGAAATTAAAACATTTTCCAAATTTGGGCGAAATATGTTAATAAACAAGCAAACTAGAACAGTTTACTTATTCTCCATAAGAATAATATGGGAATTTTAAATTAACAATTTCTCCGTAACTATTAGGCGCATTATAACGCTTCAATATACTAAATTATTTGTTTTTTTAAGCTCTACAAAATAGTTTGGAAAGAAATTACAAAATTTTATGTTTTTTGGGTCAAAAATTGGAAAAACCCATTTTTACCCCATAAAAGCCCCCATAAACCCCCGTTCCCATGGTCCGATCATGCTGGTTCGCGAACTCGTTCGAATAATCGTAGGTTTACACGTTTGTACCAAATTTCATCAAAATCGGATCATTTTTGCTCGAGTTATCGCGCTAACGGACACATATATATATATATATATATATATAAATATATATATATATATATATATATATATATATATATATGAATTTGAACGGATGGTGTTTTTGGCCTCTAGGGACCTCAAAACGAAAAAAAAATCGGTCCCGTGTCCAGGTCTTACCATGAGTACTACGGTAATAGCTTATTCCCTATATGGGAAATTCGCTAAAAGCTCAATAATTGAACTCTTTTTCTTAGAAGGGTGTTTTAACCGATCAAAGCTTTATCACCAGACGTATACGAACAAAGGTTAGCCGTCGGCCATTTCGGAACCGTGAAACCCCAATTTTCACGGGACAGGCTTGGCGTATTGATCGATTATAGTTTTATAATAGGTTATTTAAGAGTTCTAGATAGGTCGTTCGCAGGTTATTTCCCACGAACTCTCTTTGCAATGAGTACATAGTTTTTTAAAGGTGTTGGTTGGTTGCTATTGTGTATTTAAGTAATGGTCTAACATACTACATTTTGTGAATTTAAAATTGAAAATACATTTAAAAAGTAAATGACAATGGGTAAGTAGGATGTTACAATTTACTTTGGAAAATGAAATAAAGATGCATTTGTATTGCTGTAATCAAGAGAGCAAAGTATCATAGTTCTTTCCTTAAATCCATCATAAAGGTTGCCAATTTGATCTTGAAAAATGGTCTGTAGCCTTTTGATTGTGTGGAATTGAACCCAACTGTTCTTTGTAATTTGCCTAACAATCAAAAGGTTGCCGGTTTAATTCTGAGGAAATTCAGTAGCTCTTTGATCGTTCGATACTGGACCCAACTATCCCTGATCAATGGACTTTAAATAAATTATCCTGGCTGATGAAACATCTGATCTTAGTCAGTAACAAAGCTACAAAGATCATCTCGCAACATCTTTAATTCATATTTAGGTCAAAATACGCACCTAGTTGGCGTCCCCATCTCAATAAATTGATCGATTGATTGATATAAATTGTGCGGCTAAAGAATCAGATGATCTTAATAAAGAAGATACACGAACGTATTTTCTGTCTCGTTTACAATATCATCCGGCCCTTAAGGTCAGCTTAAAGTACGCACTTAAAATGCGCAACTGTATCAATAAAACAATACAGTAGGGTGAATCGAATTATTTCCTTAATAGATCAATTAACAGAGTCTCATTGGAAAGGACTAATATGGCATTGTTGGTCAGGAAGTCCACAACTTGTAATTCTAGTTTTTACGAGTTGAAAGAAGCTCAAGAAAGAATCTTGTTCTAAAGGTTGTAACCTTTTAACAAGGAATTTCATTATTACGTTCATTGTTTCTACAATTTCTCTTCACAACTTCTATTTTGGTTTTGATTGAAAAAGTCATCTTTGAAATACGATGGTTTATTTTCTGTGTTGAATTAGACTTTCCATGGAAATGGATCATAATAATTTAGTCAGTATTTACCCAAAGTTTTAGTTTTTAAATTATGTCAATTCATGGGGATAGAACATAACGATGAAGTTAGCCATGATTTTTTTAATTTAGATCAAAAATTTGTAACTGGGAGAGATGAGGGTATTTTACAGTTGCACCCTCTATTGCTTGTGATTTTGTACCACGATAATTAATCCAAACATTGGGGACGAAATCATGAGAGTTGGCATTTTTAAAATGATTTAAAGATTTATTTTATGTATTTAAACAAAATCAATCTAAACAAGGTTATATAAAATAAATAACTTAGGTAAACACACTGCAAAGAATACCAATACTATTTCCACAGTTGTTCCACCCCTAAGGTATGAAAGCAGAGTAACCTTGGATTATTTACAAGACATTTCTTCCAAGCAGCCACGCGCACGTAGGCTATCTATGCATCCTACAACATTCAAACGAGATATAAATGCCAAGGCTGTTCTATGAGCAATACCTTACCGTCTATTGCATAAAAAACAGCTCTAAGAGGGAAGTTAAGCTTAATGTTAAATATTGCGTGAATTTTATTTAACTTGGCAGATCAGTGTAATAGGGGCCCTACAGACATATAGAATGATGGTAGCACAGACCAAATTCTGGACCTTACATTCCAAAGTTGGTCTCAAGTATAAACAATTGTCTCGAAACCTAACCTCAGGACAAGTGTCGGTTTTACAGTGAACTAAATAGCATTCCTTTGCAGGTGGATAAGAATGTATTTTTGTTGTTTACATTCCAATCCCAACACTCTTTTTGTTTTACGATTCTGATATATAGCAAATGTTCATTATTTACCTATTACGCTTAAAAAACTAGGTTAAAAGCCTTTTAAACGTCCGTTTTTAAATTTTCCCGTGGTAATCAAATGCCTACTAGTGGAACTTTTCAAGGAAAGCAAGGGGTAAGCCGGTCCTGGTACAGTACAACCATTGGCTGATGAATTGTGATATTTTTAATTAACTGTAATATTTAGTTCCCTTATAAGGGTCACAATCTAATATTTTAATTTTGTGTAGTCGACCTAGAAATAAACTGCTTAGTTATTACTTTCTCCAGCTTCTCTAATTTGCAATTCAAGTTGTCTCTGAATATGCAGTTCTGCTGTAATTTGTATTCTTGCACTGTGCATGCCATTCTCTTACTCTTCCCACGTGTATTATTTGTAATGCGACAAATTTATTCCAAATTTAAAACATCCCATTTCATGTTTTATGCTTTGATGTAACTGTGTAATGTCAGGGCCGTTTTATTTAAAGGAGTGACGAAATTTTAAAGCTATGCTTCTATGCAGTTTTCACTCAAATAAAGTAATTCAGACATGTGGCTACTAACATACTTCTGTTTCGCAGAAGGAATTCTACTTTGACGGAGCTACAAACAGTCGGAGATTTGCTTTGAATAGTCGAAGTTCTGCTCTGACGGAGCTACAAACAGTCGGAGTCATATTTGACAGCTACCAATTTGCTTTGAATAGTCGGACTTCTACTTTGACGGGGCTACAAACAGTCGCAGTCATACTTTGACGGCTACCAACAGTCTTAGATTTGCTTTGAGTAGTCGGATTTCCACTTTGACGGAGCTGCTACAAACAGTCGAAGTTGTACTTGGACGGGGCTATCAACAGTCTTAGATTTTCTTTCACTTCTACTTTGACGGGGCTACAAACAGTTGGAGTCATACTTTGACAGCTACCTAGAGTCAGTACAGTCTTAGATTCGCTTTGAATATTCGGGCTTCTACTTTGAATGCTACTAACAGTCTGAGTTTTGATTTGAATAGTCGGAGTCATACTTTGAAGGCTACCAACAGTCTGAGTTTTACTTTGAATAGTCGGATTTCTGCTTTGACGGAGCTACAAACAGTCGGAGTTTTGCTTTGAATAGTCGGAGTTCAGCTTTGACGGGGCTACAAACAGCCGGAGTCATACATTGACAGCTACCTACAGTCAGTACAGTCTTAGATTCGCTTTGGATATTCGGGCTTCTACTTTGAATGCTACAAACAGTCGGAGTTTTTCTTTGAATAGTCAGAGTTCTACTTTGACAGAGCTACGAACAGGCGGAGTCATACTTTGACGGCTACTAACAGTCTGAGTTTTACTTTGAATAGTCGGAGCTCTGCTTTGACGGGGCTACAAACAGTCAGAGTTCACCTCTTAGTAAGTCAGGCGCTACCACATGTGACGCAGTGGGCGTACTTTCTCTCACCTTACATCATACTTTCGTCTTTCTTGGAATTTGATCCTGTTCTCAGCTAAGCGGTCCACTTCCTCTCTTGGTGACCGGGTTGTTGGATAATCGGGCACAATACATCGATAAGGTTGGTAACATTGTGCACCTGTCAGCCGCCATCTTGGTACCGATTGTTGACGTTATCCCGCAAGGTTGCTTTAGTTGATCTTCTACTATGGATATAACTAGATGTTCTTAGTTTTTACTGTGTAGAGATTCATGTAGTATTTTGATAATAGCATGCTCTAGGAGTATTTATATATACTATGGGCATTCGTATCAAAATTTGGCTTAATCTGACGTTGACGTATAGGCAAAAACAAAAAATCTGTATCATGGTTTAATTCGCACAAAATAACTATAATTTAAGCTGAATACTCTTTAGGGAGAAAATCTTGGATGGGAGTTTGATTAATGCAGTCTGCAATTTAGCTTTGATTTCCTTTCCTAAATCAATTTCTCCCCAGGAAATGCGGTGATTTGATTAGGTGAAAGTGCTCTTCGAACTTCCTAATTGCTTTACGACCGCTGAAGCCACTGCCTTCATCATACGATGTTCATAAGCATTTACATAACGAATACATTTTAAATATAAAACTGGTATCATACAATATTAATTGTTCCAGGAATTTATATACAAAAATAACTCAAATTGCTATCTTCAATATTTTGAACTGGTTAAATTTTAGACATACATTTAAAAAATATTATGACCTTAAATGGATTCATTTCAAGAACATAATGAAGGGATAAAAACTAAAACACGATTCTAGTCTGAATTATAGGACCTGTCTTCTGACCCTCAGTCTACCTAAGACAGACACGGGCCTTTATACCATTAGTCAGGAGACAGGTTCCACCATAAAAAGAATATTGTAGTGGACAGTCCATTGATGGTCCGGTGAAAATTCTTCAAATGGCCAAAAGGCTTTTTGACCACCCACCGTGATCTTTTAGCTTGCAGTCCACCTCTAGTTGTAATTCTATTTAGAATAGATCTTGCAATCGAGAAGAACTTACTAACTATGAAGAACTCTTTATACTAAGATCCATGCTTTACTAATGCCAATCTCAACAATGCTGTCCTTCAAAGACCTAAAAAGAATCTTTTCCCATAAACTTTTCTTGTTTCAGTTGCACAGTTCAAGTGCCCAGACAAGAAGTACGGCCAGTACGAAGACACTGTACAATGCGACAAATACTACGAGTGTGATGAAGGAGTTGCGACTCAGAAACTGTGTCCTGACGGTCTAGTCTTTGATCCTACGAACAGAAAGATCAACAAGTGTGATCAACCTTTCAATGTAGACTGTGGAGATCGCCTGGAACTACGTGAGTTTTATGTATTACATCTCATATATTTTAGAAAATCTATTCCAATGTTTTGTTGGAACTTATATGTAGCAGAGTGTTAATTTAGAATTTGTCACTTTCCCATTTTACTCGTATTTTGTTTGGAATTTAAAAACTTTCGCCCTAAAACATCTCAAGCTCTGCTACTTAACAACTATGAAGGGCAAACAAATATTTAACTAGTCAGCAAAACATTGTATTAATAATATTTGTTTGTTAGCTGACCTTGTCTACCGGGTCTTTACCATATCGTCCCAGATAAATAATAAGTATTCAGTTGAAAAAAGAGTTCGCTATATTGTGATTTATTTTTTCTCATCTTACCATAGTATAATTTGGTATCAGTATGGTATTGCAGTGATGTAGTGAAGATGTAACATTTACTAACCAAGTTTAAGCCCCTGAAAATATTTTTGTGATTTTTGATGAGGAAATGAGCAAGTGGATGCTCACTTTGGATGCATTACGTGACTGATCTTCTGTATTCCAACGTTGGATCCAATTCTAACTCAAGACTTTCCAATAAATACTATAAGAGTTTAGGATGCATAAACTCTATTAGAAACGAAAGTAATTATCGTTTTAATGTTCCAGAGGACCCCCAGGGTACCCATTTGTGCCCCCGAAGAAACGGGTACTTCGCCCACCCTGACGAGACAGTCTGCAATATATTCTACAACTGTATAGAGGGAGAGAGCACAGAGATTACCTGTCCTTCAGGACTTCACTTTGATGAATACTCTGGCACTTGTGTGTGGCCTGCATCTGCTGGGAGACAAAACTGTGGAGAAGCAGACACAAGTAAGTAGGAAGTAGATAGTAGTAAGTATGAAATGGCATTGGGTAGCAGGTAAGTAGATGGAGACAGCACAGAAATCACTTTTCCCTCAGGGCTTCACTTTAATGAATACTCTGGCACTTGTGTGTGGCCTGTGTCTGCTGGGAGACAAAACTGTGGAGAAGCAGACACTAGTAAGTAGGAAGTAGATAGTAGTAAGTATGAACTGGTAGTGAGTAACTGGTAAGTAGTTGGAGAGAGTACAGAAATAACTTGTCCTTCAGGGCTTCACTTTGATGAATACTCTGGCACTTGTGTATGGCCTGCATCTGCTGGCAGACAAAACTGTGGAGAAGCAGACACTAGTAAGTAGGAAGTAGATAGTAGTAAGTATGAAATGGCAGTGAGTAACTGGTAAGTAGATGGAGAGAGCACAGAAATCACTTGTCCTTCAGGACTTCACTTTGATGAATACTCTGGCACTTGTGTGTAGCCTGCATCTGCTGGGAGAAGCAGACACTAGTAAGTAGGAAGTAGATAGTAGTAAGTATCAAATTACATTGGGAAATAGGAAGAGGTAGAGAGCACAGAAATCACTTGTCCCTCAGGACTTTATTTTGACAAGTACTCTGGCTTTTGTAGTAAGTATCAAATTACATTGGGCAACAAGAAGAGTAGAGGTCACAGAGATCATTACAAGGGATTTACTTGGATGAGTGTTTAGGCCTTAGAGTGTGCTCCGAGGGAGAATAAATGGAGACACTAAGTAAGTAGAAAGTAGCTAAAAGTAGAATAATTGTTTCCATAGTCAAGATTAGTAGATATAACAAGGCAGTATGCTAATTCCTCTACAACTGTATGAAGAAAGCCTAGGGAACATTTTTCATTCGGCTGACAACATGCTAGATGAAAGATGGGACTGTACAAAGAATTCTAAAACTGTATGGAAAGAAAGCAACGGAATTATAATGTGTACAACTATTCCTACTATGATTCTGTTTTCAAAGCTAAGAAGGGCTACTGAGTTTTTTATAGTATTTGAATTATTTGAAGACTGAATAAAAATATTATACCCACCTTTTGTTTTATATTGCTTTCATGATCAAACAGCACACCAGACTAATACTTTAAACTAAGTTACTGAATTGACTAAGGAGAAATATGGTAAAGTAGGCATACCTTTGTCGAATTAGTGATAAATGTAGATATTTGCAACACGGATGTTATTTGGACGTTATTACGTTCCTTTTGTAATTACATTACAAACTGAGTATTTATTACAAAGATCAAAGTTGTCAAAGTTATTCTTTAGAGGAGTTTTTATTTGGATAAGTATATTTGGATACACTCATAAAACGATAAACAAAAGAGTTGAAACTCAACCTTACAATGTTCATACTAGAACATGTTTGGCAATCTATGTCTTACAAATATAGCCCAATCCTACTAAACAAGTTTGACTCTGCACATCTAAAGGAAAATATCTATCTAACAGTGTGCGTAGATTTTTCCTGCGATGCACACTAGATGAGAAAAAAGGTTTTCAAGAAACATGCTCGCCTATTAATTATTTTTAGGAAAATGAAACAATATTTTTAGGTTATTCTAATGGATCTTTAACATTGCAGTGAAGCTGAAGGATGGGTTCTCGTGCCCCAAGGAGGGTCAAGCTTCAGGCCACGGACAAGCTGTGGCACACCCTGTATATGCACATCCTGAGGACTGCCAGAAGTTCTACGTGTGCCTCAACGGTATCACCCCCCGGGAACAAGGGTGTTCTCTGGGTGAGGTCTACAATGAGGAAACCCAGAGGTGTGACGCCCCAGAGAACGTCCCTGGATGGTAATTTCTTTCATTCTTTACGTTATTTATTCTTTCACCCGTAGTATTTTTTCAGTTATTTGATAATTCAGGATCATTGTTACAAGCAAGTGCAAGCGTAATGGTAGTGTGTTGTGTATACTCGAATCCAGTTTGAATCTAATGTGACATTTCAAAGCTGATTCAATCCACTGTAATCGTAATTCAAGTGTGTTACACGAAGTTGACACTTGACTCGAGTTTGAATCCAAAGTGACAATTCAAAGCTGTCATTGCAAGTAAAAGCAAGCGTAATTCAAGGCTTGAATCAAGCTTACGTGCTATCTGGGCAATATCAGTAAATCTAATATATAAAATTCTCGTGTCACAGTGTTTGTCTGCAAACTCCTCCGGAACGACTTCACCGATTGTTATGAAATTTGGTGTGTAAATTCTGTAGGTATGCGAATCGGACGTAAACTATTTCCCGTTTCGAAATTCTTAAAAGGGCTCCGCCCCAGTGGCTCTGGAGTTTCCCATGTTAACCTTATGAGAAATGGAATTAATGAATCTTTACAGCTGCTTCAATTAAACAAGTTGGTTCTGTTCTATGATGTTCAATAGCATTAAAGTTACAAGGATTACCAACAGGGTGCAGCACTATTATTTCTTTTACATTTATGACAACAGCTAATTTGCAACCAAAAGGTGAGTGAGCGTAGCGAACGAACTTCAACCTGGAGGCGAGTTAGCGTAGCGAACGAGCTAACCTGAAGGCAAGTGAGCGCAGCGAACGAGCTCTAACCTAAAGGTAAGTGAGCGTAGCGAACGAGCTCGGTGAGTGAGCGTAGCGAACGAACTTCAACCTGGAGGCGAGTTAGCGTAGCGAACGAGCTAACCTGAAGGCAAGTGAGCGCAGCGAACGAGCTCCAACCCAAAGGTGAGTGAGCGTAGCGAACGAACTTCAACCAGGACGTGATTGAGCGATGCGAACGAGATCATCTTGAAAATTAAACGTAACGGTACTTTCTTTCCATCGGTCTGTCTTAGGGCAAACCTATAACTTAGGCGATACGAAGTTCGCCGGGTCAGCTAGTGTTCCCAAATATTTTTCATTGAATTGAAAAATAAATAACTAAATTATACAGCTGATCAAAATGTAAACAATTAGGTTCTTCATAAGGATAACATGGAAACTTTAACAGCCACTGCGGCAGAGCCCAAGGGACTTTATAAAAAATGTAAGGTTTGCAAATCTACGCGACACGCTCTTTCCAATGAGACGTCAATGGATAAAATCGGTTAAGAAATAGCGGAGGAGTTCAACCGACAAAGTTTCATGTAGCGTATTAATTATATAGATTGACTGACGGTGCTGTTTTCCTTTTTTTCATAGAAAACTTCAATCATCTTTCATAAAAAACAAACTATTTTTCCCTGTCACTAAGCAAAGGTTAATTTACTTGTTTCTATGCTTTAACTATATTGTTAAAACAGTATATGTTAGTAAATTGCTTGACAAAAGCATAGACAATTACTCCTTTATTGCTTTAGTGTTACATCATCAAGGTTATCACATCCACTGTAAAGTATGATTTTACCAAAGAAAGCAGAGTAACAGGACAAGTAAGGCAGTATTAATTCTTGCCATATATTTTAAGTGTAGAAGTTGTTGTTTTACTAACGCTGAATTAATTTGAGTACCCTAATAACATGGCTGGAAAATAAGCAAAATAAATGGTGAACGACAAAGACTCCAAGCTATTACAGCAAACAAAAGTGCAATTTAATAAACATACATGGCTATACTCTGATCTTTCAAGGGTCATAATGTCTAAAACCTAGTAAAACTGTAAAGATTTCTAGATATGGAGAAGGATCATTGTGGAGATAAATAGGAAAACCTGATTACAAAAAAAATATTGGTACCTAAATCAGGTACCTAACAATCGCAGAGATGGTAGAATAAGTTTTAAAAAATTTCCCTAATTTTTTTAGTCTATTTTTTACAATCTAACTGTGGTTAAACATTAAACAGAAGGACCAGCTGTTATTACAATTCACGTTTATTGTTATAAAGAAAGTTGGTCAGCATATTTGAATCTTCGAAAACAAACCCTAGAAATAAAACTCTAGGGGGCGAAGACCTAATGGAAATTACCTTTTAATTTACCATACGTCACTTCGGAAGATCAAAAGCTTTACAATGACATCATAATCATGTAAATCGGTGAAGAAGGACGGCTGAAAAGGGGGTGTTACAGAGAAGACCCTTATGTTATTATGTATGTAGATAGACTTTTCCACTACTTTTGTTGACGGATATAAACATATCTTTATTGTATCCAGTCTTTTCATGAACAAACTATATCTACTAGTATAATCAGTGTTTCCTATAACCATTGTGTACGAAATATATGTTATATAAAGACCATTCTTAAATTTCAAATATAAACAAATTCGCATTACATATCTTTTAGCCTAATTTGTTTGTTAGGTGTGAACATATCTAGTAAAATATATATGACATTACTCAAAGGATAATGTAATACAGTATTGTACATTTTAATTTAATTTCTCAAGTCATTCTTATCCAGAGATGCAAGACCACGTGGGATGCTTTACCGTTATGTTTTAAATTACAAGCAGTTTAGCTGATAGACTGTTCAATTAACTTTCAATGGAAGGTCACTGCGGGAGGTTAATGCAGAATCTAAGCTTCCTGATTAGGATCAGACCGTCATTATTGCAACTCCTCTAGAGTTTGGGAACAAAATCCATATATAAATCCCAAAGTACCCACAAACTTTTGAGAAAAATACAAGTCTCACCCCACATAAAATGTTCTTCATGACGAGAACCCTTGCGCAAATTGCCCCTTTAAGGTCGTAATTCCTTTCTAAAGATAAATTTCCTAATGTTAAAAATACCTCAGCTGTATTTATTTGTTTGTTATTCTTTCAATTCATTACCTTATTGAAATCAGGTGTGATTATTTGTTTGTCTTATTGTATTCTGCTTTGTTTATTTCAGCTTAACTTAACCAATCAATAGTTTTATTAATACTTATGAAGTCAAACGGGGTGAAACCCTTGGGTAACAGCTAGTTAATTTTAATTCATAATTTGAAAATGGTAAACAAATTATAATAACTATTTCATATGATGTAATACTTTTGATTTCTTGTCCACAATTAGAAATTTGTCTATTTTTTAGGTATAAATACAAAGAAGCAACAATAAAAGGATTAACGTATGTTTTATGATATATACTCAACGGTATCACAAACCCCCTCCTTCCCCCTTGAGTTTTTAAATCATATTCTACTTTTGGGACAAAAAAATTGAACGTACATACTAAATAGTTTAATGAAGGGCTAGGGATATTAAAGAAATAGCTCCTATCCGACCCATCATTTTGATTAGTTTCTTCACTAAATATTCGAACCGAATTTGTTTAACCAATTTAACATTGTTTAAATGCATTTTTCTCCGGCTTAGAAATAACATTGTTGTATCTTTCTCTTCCACCATCTACAATTATACAAAAATGACCAAAAAACTCCAAACTTCTGTGGATTTACCAAAACAGTTTGATTGACATGTTGGTCTGTTGCTTTATAGCGAAGACTGGTTCAAGGACAACCCGGAGGTGATTGCCCAGAAGGCGGCGAAGGAGGCGGCAGCGGCGGCCAAGCAGAATAGGAAGAACAACAACAACAACAGATCGTAGAAGACGAAGTGGAAGAAAGTAGAAGACATGGAACCGCTGAAGAGGAGAAGACTTCTGTGATTTTTAGAACAGACGATAGCGTATTAAGAATTTGTGTTTATCATGAGTTGTTTGTTGTAAGGTATATCGTACTTGGATTTGCTCAAGTTTACAAACATTGAAGAGCAATATTTTATAAAACATTCCACCTAATTAAAGTATATTTCTTTTACTTTTCCGCTATCAGAAATTTGAATTATTTCAATCCGTCTCATACATATGCTTTTGTGCTCGAAAGATATCTTGTTGTAGGTAATACATTTGTAATAAAATTATATTGAAAAAATACATGTGATTAAAAATGTTATCAAGTAAAACCACCATCTTTGGTCATACTTGTTGCCTAAAATGTAAAATAAAGATTGTTTTTTATATTGTGTTTATTCATTAATTACCCTCAAAAATAAAAATTTAAGTTTAGGTTATAGTTATGTCGATGTTACAATGTGTAGTTGTTTCACATTTATTAGGTTGAACATTTTTTTTTAGCTTAAATAAAAAGTAAATGTGGCCAAAGTACACAAAAATGAAATAAGGGTTTCACCCAGAAAAAGTGGGATGCAAAATTATCAATATTTATTTCACTAAGTAATCAAATAATATTTCTTTAATTTGTCCTTAATTGTAATTAACCCTTCAGCTTTAAAATCGCATTAAATGAATAAAGCATTTTCAACTTAAGTAATAAATTTACAAACCACATTATTCTACAAACTCTCTTTTTTGAGTATGTTTTTTTTACACAAATCTGAATTTATTTATGTTATTTGTTTAATAATGACATAATCTCTGGTCTTGCTTTCTAACACGGTTCTTCCATCAAGATCATTATTTGAAATTTCAAGGACTGGTAAATGGGTCTAGAGTTGACCTAGCTGGGGACTTTCAAAGCCACTATAACTTTATGTACAATTATATATTATTGATTCCAGCAATAATATATTTTATAATATATTTTACATGATTTTGCAACGATTTGTTGAATTTCCAGCAAGGACTACTACAAGAATCACCCTCGCTTCAAGGAGCTCTACACAGATGACGACGGCGATGGGAAGATAGACTACGGAAAGAAAAGAGTCTTCAACAACTAGGAGAAATATAATAAATAGATATATATGTTTTACATCCATATAAAATACGGAAACTTAATTCAGAAAATAAAAAATTTAGCAAACTTTTTGAAATATAGGTCCACATTTTAGATATGGAAGAGTATTACATTATTACATCCCTTAGTTTTTTTGTTTTATTTTGTATTTAATTTTTGTACTAAGAAATAAAAACTCTTCATCATGTATAGATAGAACCATACAACAAATAAAAAACTTTAAAGAAAGTACAAGGAAAATATTTATAGTGTTTAAGAGTATGTACAGTATGGTAAAAATGTTATTGTTATTGATATTTTAAATATAATTTTGTTTTTTCGTAGTTGTGTACTTAACATTCCTCCAGGTGAAGTTAATAACTCTTTCGAAAACAATAGCTTAGCTTTTGACCATTTCTGACCTTTTAAAATTCATAAAGTAAATTTACATTTTGAAAAGTTATACACTATTGAGTCATAATAATTTATTGTCACAGTGGGAATATAGTTGTGTTAATAACCTATAAAGTCCATTCTGAATTATTAAAGCAAGATGGTAGTAGGAGAGAAATTCAATGAATTGAAAACCATTATTAACTACCAAGCATTGTGAACTATTTTAAATTTCAAATTAAATGTAAAAATTCACTTTAAAAACCTATTATTTCGTGTTATGTTAAACAGAGGAAGATATAAGATAGCGTAAGATACCATCCCAATTTTTTATAGCCTGTAGTATCTAAAGTGTACTAATATGTTGGAGTTTTGAAACTAATTGACATAATAAATTACAAAACATGTTAAATTACATACAAGAATCCAAATACATATACAGTATTTACATTAAAAATTAAGCTAGCACTATTGTTTTACTAACGTTAAATGTTTGCTTATGTTGAAAACAAATCCTAAATATCACGTGTATATCAATAATCCTAGCAGTCTCTAAGTTAGGTATACCACACTATGGACCAAGTTCATATCTTTTGAAAAACTAACTTAACCATGTTTGGATTTTTTTCTGTGTCCTGAGCATTATTCTAAATATAAACTTCAATGATGTTTTGCAATTCTTTGTCGAAAAGACTATCTTAGGGCTCATAGGCAAGAATTTATGTCTATATTTTGTCTACGAAATACAATCTCGAAACCTTCATATCGTCCTATTCCATACTTTTAACGTTCTATTGAATGCAGGAATATACTGGTTTATATTTGCCTTAGTCCTATTAAAGGCATGAATATTTGTTGTTGATCTAAGGGAACATAAATATGGATATGGATATGTTAAGCTGTTCTTAGTCATGTTATCCAATTTCATGTAATATTTCAGCCCAAAAGGTTAAATAGTTTTTTTTTCATCCGGAACTAAACATACTTAATTAATCACAGGAGACATACCGAACCTACATCTCCTTCACAATAAAAAATACACTAGCAGAGTACCCGTCCTTCGTACGGGGTTGGCATATAAGTTTAAATTGCTTATTGCAGTTATACTCAAGCTTTTCGTTTGCAATGGGGGAGGACAAAGTTTGATAAAATTTGTTTCTTTAAATTGACGGTATACTATGGTATTACAAATCTACCATAGCCATAATGTTCTACCTCTTCACCTAAACAATAAAGAAAAATAAAGTATTACAAATTAAAAAAATCACAAATTATTCATGACATTAAAAACATAAACATAACTGTAAACAATCCTTCTTTGACAGTTCTTGCGTATCACAGTTGTTTGTTTCTGCTTAGTTCAAATTAGCTGTTTACATAAAAATGCAAAAAAATTGGTGTTGCACCCTGTTGGTAAATCGTATAACTTTTTCACGCTTTTGTATATCATGGAACCAAATTTTTTAGTTGAAACAGCTGACTAGATTCTTTAATTCCCTTTAAATATGAATACTCATCAGGTCAACATGGGGAACTACAGAGCCACTGGGGCGGAGCCCGAAGGGATTTTTGAGATAAGGATATGCCTATATGTTAATCGGGAATGTGAGCTATCATCATGCCAAATTTCAGCCCAATCCATCCAGTGATTTATGCATGATTGATCTTCAAACACACAAACAAACACACAAACTTTCACATTTATAATATTAGTAATATATACATACAGTAAAACAGCTGTCATGAACAATCAGGTGTTGCATTAATATGTATATTCACACAAAAATACCTCAAATTTTTGACTAAATATTTTTTTTAGCGAATTTCCCATATAGGGAATAAGCTATTACCGTAGGTCTCATGGTAAGACCTGGACCCGGGACCGATTTAGTTTTTAGTTTTGAGGTCCCCAGAGGCCAAAAACACCATCCGTTCAAATTCATATATATTTATATATATATATATTTATATATGTGTCCGTTAGCGCGATAACTCGAGCAAAAATGATCCGATTTTGATGAAATTTGGTATAAACGTGTAAATCTACATTTATTCGAACGAGTTCGCGAACCAGCATGATCGGACTATGGGAACAGGGGTTTATGGGGGGTTTTATGGGGTAAAAATGGGTTTTTCTAATTTTTCACCCTGAAAACATAAAATTTTGCAATTTCTTTCTAAACCATTTTGTAGAGCTCAAACAAACAAATAATTTAGTATATTGAAGCATTGTTGCATGCCTAACGGTTACGGATAAATCGCAAAATAGTGTAAATTTAAAATTACCATGTTATTCTTATGGAGAATAAATACAGTGTTGTAGCTTGCTTGTCTATGGACATATTTTAATGAAATTTTGTTTACTTCATACTAAGCTATTTATATTTCAATAAAAACCCCCTATTTTCTTCCCTGTAGCAGCAAACCTAAGTACCTACTCATTAATATTAACTAGTTGCTCTGCCCGTGCTCGCTACGGGGTGAGAATGCAGAAAAGAATAATTTGGTTTTACTTTGAGATACTATACTTACCAGGAAACATATAGGCAAAGGCTCAATCGTACTTACTGATTATTTAAATGAATATCTCTTAATGTATACAGTACCATCATTTTATATAGTGTATATCATTTAAAATATATGCAAAAGTATAACTTATTGACCACATGTCACTAAGAAACAATTATCCTTGTAAACAAATCAAATTAAATAGCAGAACAGCATTTCTGACAACAGCTGGAGTTTCATAACAATGTTTGTTTCCCATGTTAATCTTATGGAGAAATACGAAACTTTAAAGGGCCCAGGACCTCACTCTCTAATTATTTCCCTATGAAAAAAGTTTCCTGCACAACTTCACGTTACGCTCTTTCCAATGACACCAAAAACATGTCAATCGGTTCAGTAGTTTCGGAGGAGTAATTGTCACAAAAAATATGCTTGCGTATTAAATAAGTAATAATAGATGATATTTAAATAGGAAATAAATCTGACAATTTTAAGGGAATAATTTAGTGGAATTCCAGATGTGTAGATAGAAATTCGCTTAGTCGGCAGGTTTGCTGCGGCGGGGGTATTTTTTTATTCCCCAAGCTTTAGTCAAAGAGATTACAACGCAAGGTAGACCACGTAGGTAGTACAAGGGAGTAACAACATGACGTCACAGCTGACAGACTGTCGGTGACCTCCACTGATAACCTGCCTTATCTGTAATCAGGAAGTGATAAGCGGGCGTGGCTGACCTTGCTACAGTGACCTCTTGAGATCAGGATGTTGCAATGGACCATGTCTTGCCGCTAGTCTGGAGGCTGTCGCTGATGACTAAGTCGTTTTTGGTAAGAATTATCAGCTGTTATAAATATTGATCAGCTGTTAAATATTTATCAGCTGTTCTACGCTGGTTATTAACATGATCATTTATCGTATGACTTCTGTCTAAAAAAGTTTAGTCTAATTTCTGTTCTTTTATTCTACTTACGTGAAAACAACAATTTTTTTAGCACGATTAGACTTTTTAAATGACAGTCGGAGGGTAAAAACCTCTGTTTATAGAGTATCAAAAACCATCTTATGACTTTGAAAATGTGCACAATATAAACTGGACGTATAAAGAATAAAATATGAAACCATACAGACTAATTAATTATCTATATTGTACTAACATTTGATGAAAATCTGACGTTCTGTTTATAATGTGTGAATTTTCAGTCATGAGATGGTTTTTGATAATCTAAAACAGGATTTTTTACATTCCGACTGTCATAAATTTTTTTTTACGAATTAAAAAAATTTGAACCTCATTTTTAATTTAAATTAATATAAAATATTTGTGATTTAATTTTTTTTCATAGCGCCGGTAAAACAAAGTGATATAAATATGAATTAAAAT